TTCTTCACGTTGTCGTCCAGGTAGGTGGGTCCCAGGGTGTAGATTGGCGTTGACCCCATGCCCACGAGTATCTGGGCGCAGATGAACAGAGTCACATACAGGTTGTGCTCGTTGCCCTCCTGGTCGCGAGGGCACGATGCCACATCGAGAAGATCGCGGCCGCTGCTGTTGCCGCTCTGACAGAGCCCTTCATGGCCGGCTGATGAGTTCACCTCCTGGATCTGGTAGGGTGGCGAGATGAAGTGGGGCAAGGAGAACAATGCTGCCCCTATAGCGATGATCACACCACCCACAGCCAGCCAGCGTGGCCTCTGACCTCTGCCCCCGAAGTAGGAGATGAAGACCACCACCAGCAAGCTGCCGATGTCGAAGCAGCTGACCAGCAGGCCGGACTCAGAGCTGCGCAGACTGTAACGCTTCTCGATGGTGGTGATGACACTGCTCAGGTAGCCCGAAACCATCAGGGACTGAATGAAGGTCAGGTAGCACATGCAGAACAGGAAGCAGCGGGAGTCCCTAAGGATGACCCGCACATACTTCCTGGCTGGGATGCGGATAAGGCGGGTGAGAGAGAAACCAAGTTTTTTACCCCCGGAGCCGGCAGCCCTGTGGCCCTCCACAGGTAAGGAGCTGCTGAGCCCCACCATGCTGGAGGCAGAGGGGGAGAAGTCTGTCCTGGAGGAGGGAGACTCCGCCAGGCTGGAGTCTGGGGTTTTTGGCTGGAGCTCGCTGCTCTCCTGCACGGCCACGCAGGTGTGTTTGGTGTTGACCAGGCGAGCCTTCCGATCCGGCTGACAGGGTCCATTGAGGATGGGCAAGCTCTTGGACTTGAAGCAGTTCTCCGGGTCTACGTACTGGTCCTGGAGCTCGCAGATCTCCAAAGACTCAGACAGGTCGCTCCCCGTTTCGTCATTGTCCGATGAAGTCATGGTGCGGCTGGAGATGTAGCTTCTGTCGACTCCTGGCTCAGTCAGTGACTAGTGCCACATGAGGACAGAGTGGAGCTGCTGCAGGGCTGGGCGCTGGAGCAAAGACTGCCCTGCCAGTAGGAGTTGGGCGGACTTAATCCCTCTAGTTATGTGCATGTTTTATTCGACATGGATATTTACAGCAGCTCTGCTCTGTCACACAAAAAAAAGCCTCTCTCAGTGCCCAACATTAGTGCCCAACATTAGTGCCTAACAAACCACTAGTGATGGTGGTATCCTTGACTGAATACACAACATCACCTACTTTAAACTTAACACTTCTGGATATTGTCCAAGGATTGAATTGTTTACAATAAATAGCTTATAAGGTTAAAAAAAACAACACACAAGGTGCTGTCTTTACAATGTTCCCCTAATTTAGGATCCCACGTTGACATTGACTTTATGGCTCTTTGTTACAGAGCAACCTTTATTCATAAGGTTTCCTTGTTTCCTTTGTCCCATTGCTGTGCAGCATCCTAGAAAGAAGACAAAAACAGGTTGATTGATTGACTGAAATTAAAACAAAAATGGTTGTGCACACATTTATACACCCAGCTACAAAACCTAACCCTTTCCACTTCTGGCAATATGGTAATATGTCCACCCTGGATTAACTTCATGTCGCTAAATTGCTACACAAAAAAAAATATGCCACCCAAAAAAAATAAAATAAAAATAATCCACACGAACAAACAGTCACATCGGTGTCAAACTGTCGCAGCGGTGGCTATATCACACCTAGCTCCCTTTTGTCAAACCGAGAAATATACCTAGAGAACAAAAGACCACGCTGTCCACAAACGTCTCAGTCATGACTTTGGAAAGAAATAAAACCCCAAATTCAACACGGGGCATTTTCTGAAATGAAGCGACAATAAGTCTCGGCCCTTCGACTAAAAACGGCGACAAATATTATTTGACATAACTTCCAGGAAAGCCTGGACGCACCGAAGACTGTAATACTCACACAGGACAGAGGGAGGTAGCCTGTTGTTCTCTATGGAGCGGCCACTCACTGAATGAAAGCTGTTTGATGCGGATGGCTGCTGCTGGTGGGCAAATGCTGCCTTAAAATACAGTCGGAAATTGTATAACTCTGAGTTTTGAGTCCCAATAAAGTGGAGAGAAAACGCTTAATGTGTCTAATTTTGATCATGTCCGCTCGCGAGATTTGAAAAAAAAAAAATTAAGAAGTTATAGGAGTGATGATTGCGCGAAATAATTTGGTATGGTGGTTGATATTACGTATGAGGACTTACCGATACTCTTTTAACGTTTATAACTTAAAAATAAATGTTATAAATGGTAAAAACAGTCCAATAAACACGTCTTGGTCGGTCTTTTTCACCAACCACGCACATATACAGCGTATCTTATCTACAACTTCCCAGCTACGAAGTAAATCCCACAGAGAAGAATGTAACGTGAACGCAGCAAATCGTGGGGTTGAATTGTTTTTCACATCAGCGACATTGGGACTTGTAGTTTCTTTCGTGACTCTAACGTGCGTTCAGCTCACTTTCTGACTACAAGTAAAGCTGTCACGAGTAACGGTGGCTCTCTGAGACATAAGCAAAACCGAATACTCCTGGAAATACTGATGCACTCATATTTTCATTCAGATAATTTAGAAAACACTAACTCTAGGACTTCATATACCAGCATGCTTGTCGGCTCCATATGGTGGATTGTTTAGTAGCCTACGCTACGTCATCTGGACAGCTGGGACCCTTGCTGACCCAGCAGTGATTGACTGGTTCACAGGCTCATATAGACAATGGGCTCTGTGCCTGGCAGTCTCTCTGACGCAATAAATTGTAAACAAAAATGTCCAGTGAAGGCAGTTTATTTCTTCAGAGAATACTAGCACTCAGTCATTGATAAAAAAAACACCTTAGCTCATGCATAACAATGACGACTGCACTGAAGAAAGAAGAAGAAGAATAGTTTATACACGCTTTAAAAGCTGAAAGACTATGTATTTGTTGGACTTATGATCAGTTTGTTGTTCATATTTATAACCATTTTTCTGGTGTTAATTGCAACATCATTTACAGGCTTTAAAAGGACAATATTGTAACACATAAATAAATGAGTCTGAATAAACATTTGACCTGATGTTTTATTTTTGAAAGGTAAAATTTCACTGAATGAAGAAACATGTGGGCTGACAGAGAATAAGATGTACCTTTTTTATATAGAGAGAGAGTTGACTCCCAGTGGCTGTCACAGGGATGGATGACTTTACCCAAGGTCATTAATTCATTTCCTGGACTAGGTAGGCTGGGTGATCAATCCCACTCCTCTTCCTCCTGCGCTCCTCATTCTGATGCTCGTTGGTCCCTCGGCATTTGAACAAAGCCTGAATGTCAAATTTCTGCTTCACTACCCTCAATGTGTGGAAGCAAATCTTTTTAAAACACTAAAAACTCTTTTTTTTTTTAAAGTGACACATAAGCTTAGCTTAGCATGCAGGCTTCTGCAGTGTATCATCTCCTTGTGTGTCTGAGAGAGAATGAGTGTCTCTCAACAGTCAATCAGAGGGATCAATGAGGAGCATCATGGTCCATCATAGCGGCCTCTGTGGTTACTGTTTGAGAGTTTTCCATCTCTCTTGCTGGCTATCAGCATGCAACAGGCTAATCGATACCACAACCCACCAAGAATACACAGAAGTATAAAGGGATGAGAAGAAGTATTTAGCAGATAGTGGCACTGTATTATCTCTGCAGCACCTCTACAAGTATAGCTACAGTAGGCAATCTGTTATAGAGGCAAAACATAGTGTGTGATTGGTTTGTGTATTGCTTATATATGATTACTTTTATTAAATATTTAACAGTTGTTCTTTTTTTCTTTCTTTCATAGAGCAGTCTGCAATCCACAGTGATACAATTTGGTCTTATTGGTATGATCATGTTATTATAACCAATGTTTTTCCTATCATTTGTTGGCAACATTTAGAGAAAGGTCAGAGTAATAAACACAAACTGTCTTTCCATCTTCTTTCTTCTGTGTTATTCAAGAGAGATCAGCAAGTAAATCAGAGAAATAAAACGTTATTTTCTGAATATTTCTCAGCGGTTACGTTTTAATTACCCTCTATCTTTGCCAAACATTTAAAGTTTTACCTTTATAGGTTTGTGTTTTTGGCTCTTATGATGTTAAAGCCACTATGTCTACACTTTTTATGAGATTATATTATATATATATAATATACATTATATTCAAATTATTCAGACAGCATAAGATTCAACATAGAGCCAGTGAAAACTGGCAAAGTGCTACTCTCTGTGATAATTTAAAGACATAATGAATGGGATTTTCCCCTAAAAAACACTCATACACTATGTGACTTAAAAACAAACTGTCTGTATCATCACTTATGACCTGTTAGAAGTGTGTGGCAGCATTGGATGTGTATGGGTGTCAACCTATGGGCAGTGTGCAATGTGTGAAGTCAGGACTCTATAAACTATAAAAGCATAAGGACCAGACACTATTCATCATATCATAATATTCTGTCTCCATCTCTCGCCTCTGCTCTCTGTCTGTGTCATGTATGTATAACGACCTGCAGGTCTGTGTGTCTGACTAAGGATGAAGCAGCTGCATTCACGCAAATACCAGCAATATGGCTCCTTCCTGCAGGTTTGTACGGAGGCCATGCTTATTTTTGCTTTAAATTTAACACAAACTGTAGCTCTAATTCTTGCTAATCAAGTTTAAGTAGAAGAAGAAATTAACATGCAACACAGTGTGTATTTTCATTGTCCACGGCAGATTTTTTTCCTCAGCCAAATGTCATTGATTTAGAGAAGTTAGCCCAGGGACATTTAGTTAGCCCATGACCTTTCTTAAAACAGAAAGAGAGTGTGACTGGAGACATCACAGATGACAGGAGCAGCCTTTTCCAAAGGTTAATATGTTCATGGCTTCTCAGAAATAGTTTTAATGGAGTGAAATGCGGCTTCAGAAGAATTTCGCTTGATGCCCGGCAGCAGCAGAAGAACAAAACGTGTCTGTTTCTGGTACAGAAAAACACACAGAAAACTTCCCATGTGAACAAGTGAACCAGTACAGTAGAGACTGAACAAGCATGCCTGCATTTTTAAAAAGGAAGGGGGGTCGCTACAAAGCTTCCCTTTATATCTGAATGTTTCCCACAAACATTGCCAACAAATATTGCTGTATTGCATTTCTCATGCAACCAGCAATAAAATACACAGCCTCTTATTAGAACAACTGTAAAAGCTGTTTATTGCTCACAGGGGGTCAGAAATCAAACCTATTTAAAATGTCAATATTTGTGGGCAATATTTAGTGTTACACATAGATAATTTCCCCCTTCCAGCTGTGTATAATTAAAATGTAAACTCAAATAAATGACAGAATAGACTGTTACCCTGTAAGTTATGTATTTTTAATGTGATAGAGCAATGCACTGATTTCAAAACGGAGCACTGGTTCCACAAAGGAGAGAAAGACAACACCACCCTCTAGTGCACAGACTAGTTCAGTGAGGCTGTGACCTGCAGACTGCTTGTGTTTCTGAACATGACCAATAGATGGTGCTTAGTCCTCAAGATTGTTAGCATCAAACAGAGGGCTTGGTTGCTTGTTGGAGTGCAGATTGATAAAAAACTTGAAACTTGATTAGCAAAAGCTCTTTCAACAGACAAAATATATTTAATAATGTAAATAGTTTTACTTTCACACAATCTAACAAAAGATGGTATCAAGTTGCAGTATGAAAACAGAAGGATCGAGAGTTTTTTGGAGTATCATAGGGTTTTAAAGTTAGGGTATTGCAGCCTCTGCTGCATACATTTTGAGAAGTAATTTGAACAGTAATAAATCACTGTAGTACCCCTTTAAAATAATCAGAATTATTAGTAAAGTAAAATATTTTATATATTTTTCACTATATATTATTTACGGTCATGGAGGAAGTATTCAGATCTTTTAAATAAAAATACCAATACCACACAATGAAAATACTCAAGTAAAAGTATGTAGGTATAATTAGGAAAATGTACACAAAGTATTAAAAGTCAATGCAGAAAAATGTGACTGTACTAATATATATTATAAATATATGATCATTATTACTCATGCATTAATGTAAAAACAAGATTTTAGTGTTGTATTTGCTTGAGGTGGAGCTAATTCTAATTCTATTTTGTAAAGGACTGCAACTAATGATTATCTTCATTATAGGTTGATCTGCTGACAATTTTCTCCACTAATCCATTGAGTGTTTGGTTTATAAAAAATATGAAAATAGTGAGAACTGTCATCACAATTGCCCAAAGTGACAGCTTCACAATACTTGTTTGTCCAACCAATCCAAAGGTACAAATCCCAATATGATTTAAAATAGAGTCAACTTGTTATAAATATTAAAGGTCCATTGTGTAACTTAATTCAATTTACTGGCAGAAATTGAATATATTTTGCACAACTATGCTTTCATTAGTGAATATTTTCGTTACGTTGAATAAGCCTTTTATACCTACAGACACATTGGATGACCATCCATGGAGTCAGCCATGTTAAACCGCCATGTTTCTACCAATCTAGATAGGGGTGTTTGCGTTTTTCGTGTGTTTCATGGCCACCATACTTTCTGGTTCGCTCATGGAAAGGGAAGGGTGATGCATCTACACTGCAATTCTACTAAATCCTATATACTGGACTTTTAAAATAAAAAATGCAGCAAATGTTCTTGGTTGATTAATTAATGATTTCAGCTGTACTTAAAACTGTGAAAACAATAAACTGTTGTGTCATGTTTTGTATGCAAAAATCTTAATTCGTAAAGTAAATAGTAACTAAAGCTGTCAGATAGAATACCGTAAAGTACAGTACTTGAGTAATTGTACATTACATTCCACCACTAATTATTTTGTCTTCTTTTGTCTTCCTTTTCCATCAGATTTAGTCTTTACGATGTCTGGTCAAAGTGCTCGTTACAAAGATATTGTGGCGGTGAGATCTCCTCCTGTCAGTTCATGAGTGATGACATCATCGTCATCATCATCATCTGCAGCCTGGTCTGACACTTCACATGGCCTTGAGTCGG